TCATCATCATCATCATCATCAGCATCATCATCGTCATCAGCATCAACATCATCAGCATCAGCATCAGCATCAGCATCAGAATCAGCATCAGCATCGTCATCATCATCATCAGCATCATCATCGTCATCGTCATCATCATCATCAGCATCAACACCATCATCATCATCATCGTCATCATCATCAGCATCAGCATCAGCATCAGCAGCCGCATGATCATCAACATCATCATCATCATCATCATCATCATCATCAGCATCAGCATCATCGTCCTCATCAGCATCAGCATCATCAGCAGCATCATCATAATCAGCATCAACATCATCATAATCACAATCATCATCATCATCATCAACATCATCATCAGCAGCATCATCATAATCAGCATCATCAACATCATCATCAGCAGCAGCATCATCATCATCAGCATCAGCAGCATCAGCATCAGCATCATCAGCATCAGCAGCATCATCAACATCACCATAAGCATCAACCACATCGGCAGCGTCATTATCAGTAGCAGCATCAGCAGCAAAATCACCATCACCATCACCATCACCATCGACGTCATCATCATCATGATCAGCATCGTCATCATCATCAGCATCATCATCACCATCAACAGCAGCAGCATCATCGTCGTCAACATCATCATCAGCATCATCAGCATCAGCATCATCATCATCCTCATCATCAGCATCATCATCATCACCATCATCATCAGCACCATCATAATCAGCATCTCCATCATCATCATCATCATCATCATCAGCATCATCATCATCATCGTCAGCATCAGCATCCTCATCCTTATCCTCATCCTCATCCTCCTCCTCCTCATCATCATCATCATCATCAGCAGCAGCAGCATCATCATCCGCATCCTCCTCCTCCACCTCATCCTCCTCCTCCTCCTCCTCCTCCGCCTCCTCCTCCTCCGCAGCAGCAGGAGCCTCCTCCTCCGCCTCATCCTCGTCTCCCTCGTCTTCCTCGTAGTCCGCCTCCTCCTCCCCCTCCTCCCCCTCCTACTCCTCCTCCTCCTCCTCCTCCTCCTCGTTCCCGTGCTCGTGTCCTGCTCCGTTTCCTCCTTCTCCTCCTCCTCCTCCTCCTCATCCTCCTCCTCCTTCTCCTCCGCTTCCTCCTCCTCTGGCCAGATGTTCCACTGCACGCTTCTGCACTTTCTTGACGACGGCAATCACCCAATGCATCGCTTCAGGGTTTTTTTTCCCGCACGGTTCCCATCGGCATTCGGCGGCAACATTTCTGGTTGGGCTGGTGGGGATACGTTTTTTGGTCGGCGGCTCCGAGGCGGCGGACAGGGAGCGGCAGGCGCTGGTGGGGATACTTTTTTTGACCTGCGGCTCCAAGGACGGCTCCAGGGAGCGGGTCAATCTCGACAGGGGCGCAAGGCGAGACGATTGGCAACGAGCTGGTGGGGATACGCAAGGCGTGAAGAATTTCACCAGCGTAATCAGTGCCGTCGTCAGTTGCGTCATCAGCACCAACATCATCGCCAGCATCGCCAGTCACAGGTAGTCGCATCGGCAGCATAAGCACTCATCAGCATCATCAGCATCAGCAGCATCATCGTCAGCAGCAGCATCATCAGCATCATCATCGTCATCGACATCGTCGTCGTCGTCGTCATCAGCATCATCATCATCATCATCATCATCATCATCATCATCATCACCATCACCATCACCATCACCCTCATCATCATCATCATCACCACCACCACCACCACCATCATCATCATCATCATCATCATCATCATCAGCATCATCAATATCATCAACATAATCATCATCATCATCATCATCATCATCATCATCATCATCATCATCGTCATCGTCATCGTCGTCGTCATCGTCATCATCATCATCATTATCATCATTATCATCATCATCATCAGCATCGTCATCATCATCAGCATCGGAATCATCATCAGCATCATCACCATCATCATCAGCATCATCATCATCATCAGCATCGGAATCATCATCATCAGTATCATCATCATCATCATCAGCATCATCAGCATCGTCATCCTCATCATCATCATAATCATCATCAGCAGCAATACCACCATCATCAGCATCAACATCATCATCATCATCAGCATCATCATCATCATCATCCTCATCATCGTAATCATCATCATCATAATCATCAGCAGCAGCAGCAGCATAACCATCACCAACATCATCACCATCATCAGCATCATCAGCATCATCATCCGCATCATAGCCATCATCAGCATCAGCATCCGCAGCAGTATCAGCATCCGCAGCAGCATCTTCATCAGCATCAGCATCATCAGCAGCATCAGCATCAGCATCAGCATCATCATCATCATCAGCAGCAGCATCATCATTAGCACCATAATCACAATCACCGTCACCATCACCATCATCATCAGCATGATCATCATCAGCGTCGTCATCAGCATCATCATCATCACCAGCATCATGATCAGCGTCATCCTCATCATAATCACCCGCGTCATCATCAACAACAACCTCATCATACTCAGCAACATCAACATCATCATCATCATCATCATCATCATCATCATCATCATCATCATCATCATCATCAACTACATCAACATAATCATCCTCATCAGCACCATCATCATCAGCATCATTATCAGCATCAGCATCGTCATCAGCATATCCATCGTATCCAGTCGAATCATCCGCATCGTCGCCGCAGGTCGTCGTCGTAGTCGTCGTCGTCGTCGTCGCCGGGCGCCGCGCCTGGGGGCGCCCGCGTCCGTGGAGAGCTGCTGCAAGAACTCGTGCCTGGGGGGGGCAGGGGGGGGGGCTGGCGGGGAGGGTCTCGCACGGAGGAGGGCGGCACGCATGGAAGGCAGGAGCGGGCGGGGAGGCTGCGGAGGGAGGGAGGCGGGCGGCCTGGGGAGGGGAAGGGGGAGGGGGGAGGATGACGGGGGGGGGCGAGGAGGTGGCCGGAGGAGGCAGGAGGGAGGAAGGAGGGAGGAGCGAGGAGGCGAGCGGGAGGAAGGGGAGGGAGGAGGTGTTATCCCCAAGTCGCCCAGAGAATGAAGGCTGAGCCAAATCGGACATCACAAAGCTACCCGGAACAGTTCCTGCCCGAGGTGGCGGTTATCAGGCGGAGGAGGAGGGAGGGAGACCGAGAGAGGAGGGAGAAGCAAGACCAGGAGGGAGAAGAGAGGAGGACAAGGAGGGAGGAGGACAAGGAGGGAGTAGAAGAGGAGGAGGGAGGGAGGAGGGAGGAGGGGGGAGGGGGGCGGAGCGGAGCACTGAGGACCCGTCCTCCGACGGGCGAACAAACCACGGCGACTGGACGACCTCGTCGCCACCCACGCGCCCGCCCGCAACACGCCCGCCCGCAGGGGTACGCCCGGGGAGACGACGAGCCCGTCCATCGGGCGGGCCTCCGAGGAGCTCGCCTTGGAGGCCCTCCACGCCAGGGACGACGAGGAGGGAGCCGAGGTGCGCGCCGAAGTCGAGCACCGCGTTGCGCGGGAGGGCTACCGTCCCCAACGGCCGCCCCCCCGCGCCGCCCCGGAGCGCAGGCCCCTGGCCCTTGGCGGCTCGACCACCTCCTCCACGCGGCGGCAGAGCTCCTCGAGGACCGCCTCGAGCTCGTAGGGGCTGGTGGGGATCGAGCCCCAGTCGGCTGGCAGGCCGAGGCTCCCGCGGAGGGAGGCGACGCGCGCCCGCGCGGAGCGGAGCAGGTCGTCCTTGCCCTGGCCGTCGTCCTTGCCCTTGCCTCGGCCCGCGCTGGAGGGCGGGCCGCGATCGGCCGCCCGCGGCGGCTGCACCACCACGGGGAGCTCGTCGGCCCAGGCGTCGTCGGCGCGGGCAGCGCGGCCGCCACCTGCGCCGCGCCACCCGCCGTCCCAGCCTCCGTCATCATGCCGGCGGCGCCGAGGCCGTGCATGGCCACCCCAGCCGCTCCCGCCGCTCCGCCGCGGCCGCGAGGCCGACGCCGCCGTCTCCGAGGGGCAGCCGCGGGCTCCGCTGGCGGCGCCGCCGCGGGCGCAGGTGCGTGGGCTTGGCCAGCACGGCCACCGCCGTGCGCAGCAGACCTTCAGCGGCGCGGGCGAGACGCGCAGCATCTCGGAGCCCAGCGCCGCTGGCGAGCCCAGCAGCAGCGTGCACCGCCAGGACCGCGCCCCGCGCGGCCTCCAGCGTCGCAGCAGCGCGGGCGTCCGTCGTCGGCGGCATCGGCGACACAGCGGGAAGGCGGGCCGACCCAGCGAGGCGAAGCTTGAGCCACGATACCAACTGGAGGGCGGAGGGGGGAACGAGGAGGGAGGAGGGAGGAGGGAGAAGAGACGGAGGGAGGAGGGAAGAGGGAGCAGGAGGAGGAGGAGGAGGAGGAGGAGGAGGAAGAAGACGAAGAAGGAGGAGGAGGAGGAAGAGGAGGCGGAAGAGGGAGAAGGGGGGAGGGGGGAGTGCGAGGGGGAGGGGGGAGAGGGGGAGGGAGAAGAGGGGACGGGGGGAGAGGAGCAGCTGGGCAGGCTAGGTCCGCTCGCGCCGTATCCAACATCTTACGCCTCCCACCCATTCCCTCCCATTGCGCTGTTTCTCTCTATCCGCCTACGCGTGACATAGCGGACCCAGAATTCCACATGGGACCCCATATTTACGATGTGCAATCGGGAAACAAAGATCTGCGTACATTGGAGGAGGCGGATGACGAACAGCAGCAGCAGCAGCAGGAGCTTGAGTTGAAGGAGCGGAAGGGGCAGGAGGACTAGAAAAAGGGGGAAGAGGGAAAATGAGGGGGCGACAATGATGAATAGGGACTCGGATCTGAAAAGTGGTCCGCTCTGGGACGGGACCAAATCGCCGATCCGAAAATGAGGCCCACGCTGCAGCGGGAGCACCATTTTGAAACACCGAAAGCAATCGAGTTTTCAAAGTCGGGGGAAAAAAGAGAGAGAGAGAGAGAGAGGGGAGAGTAGCTCGTAATGTGAAATTGTGAAGGGAGAGAATGAAAAAGAGGAGGAGGACCACCCCTCCAACCAAGGGTAGCACCCCAAGAATTGCATACCGTCTTACCTCATTTGTTCTGTCCTACGGGGACAGGAGAGCAGACAGACCGCTGCCCACACACTGGAGGTGGCCGGGTACTTTAGGGGAGGGATGGGGAGGATGGGTACTCATCGGGAGGGACATACGATCTAAGGGTAGCAGCCCTAGAACTGCACACCGTCTGCCTCACAATTTGTGCACTGCGCACGGACAAGTGAACAATCTGCCCACCTGCCGCTACGTCCTGCAGCCGCCTCTTACACTTCGCAGCATGTACCTCAAAACGAGGGGAGGGTTTCAGATCACATTATTTCTAAGGTTTCTCAAACTAGGTACATGCTACAGTACCTTGCGGGCGCCTACTTCTTCTACCATTCTCGCATCGGCCTCTTCTTGTCCACCGTTCCCGCGGCGCCCGCCAGGTACCGTTTGCCCCGAGTCGTGTACATTTCATTAACTTTTCTTTGCAAGAACGCCACAGTCGCTGACACAAGCATGGGCAACTCAAAAAAGGAGGAGGAGGAGGAGGAGGAGAACGGATAGGGAACGCAAGCGTGGTAAACGTACGAGGGTCCAGGCCACACTACCTGACGCAGAAGCGGGCGCAACCTGCCTCTGACCCGGGTAACGAGGACGCATGCTGCAATATACCCTCCCGTCCCAAGTCCCTTCCCATCAA